TCTCAGTGTACCTTGTACACATTTTAAATTAAACATATTACCTAACCTGAAATAACAAAATTAAACCAGCTCTGGTCTCCAACAAATGTACTGATTTACATTTATATTGCATGCCATTTTATGTATTATATCTTTCTATTTATGTACTTCTTAAGGAAAAAGAACCTTTCATACCCTTTACAGGCTTTCTACCACTTTCTGCTCCCTTCAATTTTGCCTCCACTAGTGCCACTACTACACAAAATATGCATCCATATACATCAAAAAAATTTCATACAATCAAACAGGACTCACTTTTTTTCAGGAGATATCCTTTTTTGACAATATTTTTATAAAAAGCATCCTTTGTTTTGCGACGAATTGTATTATAGATTTCTTTTCCATCCACTGTATCATTAAGCACTTGTTCTTGATGCTGGTAAACAAGGAAGAAATCCAGAATTTTTTTAAGCTCAGAAATCACTGTGAAACAACTGCATACTATGAAGTCGCAACTTAAATGTTATTGAATGCTACCAATTCTTTACTCTCTCATGTGTCTTAACAAGCCAACCTAATTTAATACAATACCTTTCCCAGAAATGTAATATAAGTATTTCTCATGGAATGATTAGGCCACAATTATCATATGAGAAGAAAAATAAGCTTTAAATACAGATCAGCTTTCAAAAAGTAACACCTGTATTTGTTTTTTTAACCCTAAATAGAAAGCAGCATCTTTCAGCAATTTATGCAAAATTTACACAAATCTTTAAAGGTTATTTAGCTTGCACAGTTCCTCACTAATCTTATTAGCACTCATCTCCTAGATGAGTATCATTCTAACAAAAAACAATAGGAGAAAGTAGAAACAGGACATAGAAAAAGGATAAATTCACATAGAAAACTAAGATCTAGAAATGTACATGCCCAGCTAGAACAGCCAAAAGCTAAGCTAAGCTTGACCATAAGAAAATATGAAAAGCGAGACTATCAAGCAGTGAGAACAGTATCAAGATGATGTGATATATATACTAGCACTATACTTTTCTCTCCTCTCTTCCCTCCCATATGTCCATAAGAATCAGGGTTTTGAACAACATGACAAAACCAAGAAATTCCCTTGTATTAATATAATAGATCTAACAAAGGGTTAACTATTTAGGTTAGAAATTAAAACCATCCAATTTCTAACCATCAAAACATGAAAGTTGACAAATAGTTCAAAATTATATTTTTGTACTTTGTACCTATCTGTAACTATATTTTCTCTGGGAGAAGAAAAACACTAGACACAAAGAATGGAGAGCAACCTAGTTCAGAGACCAGAGTTAGGGGCACAAAGTGAAGTATTTATACCCCATAGCAGACTAATCTTATCATAACTTCTGTTTACTACAAGCCAACTTTAGATAAACAAATGCATATGAGGATAAAATGAAACACACACACAAACCAAAAATTCAGGAGGGGATGATGCTGTTTAACTACAATGGATACCTCTGCCATAATTCAGTTCCTATATTATGAATATTTGAGGATTAAGTCAATATCTTCAATAACAAGTGCTGAGAGATGAAGTTTTACCTGCATTGGAACAGGATCTTTAAGGTAATATCCTTCAACAATCTGTTCTTTTCTATAATGTTCAATGATCTCAGCAATACTGTTCAAATAAGAAAAATAAGTTTAATCAGTTTTTCCTCTGTATGAGAATTTAATTTTACATGCAATCACACTACATTTCCTAACAAATTTATAATAAAAAAGTGCTAAACATCATAATCTCATTTGCAGCAATGACAATCTACTAATACATTGATGTTGAGAAAATTAACAGAACATTTTCAATCAGTTGTTGAAAATGCATGCATTAACTTTGTCTACAATGGAGTTAAATTTCCCCATAGCAGCCCTCATAGTGCTGGGCTCTGTATTTATAGCTAGAAATACAGGGGGGGGAAGGTGGGGGGTGGAAAGAGAAAAAATTCCTGCGAACATTTTTATGTTTTTCAAGTTTGTACCATGAGTTGAATCTCTCAGTATTACTAAAACCCAAATAAACTTAAATTTCAATTCATACGCAACATGCATATGCTATGCCCACACAGACCAGGTTCCTAGCTTTACAGACAAATGAGTCAATAACTGGCACATGTAAAAAACTGGAACCAGCTGCGGTAGCACAATCTGCCCCACAGACAAAGAAAATTAAAACTAGCCCAACTAAGAAAAGGAGGCAGGTGATAGTAGTAGGAGACTCCACCTTGACAGGCACAGAACCACTCGTCTGTACCTTGACAGGTATGGAAGCACTCATCTGTCGGCCCGTTCTTGTTGTCTCCCGGGAGCGCAAATCACAGATGTTATGGAGAGACTGCCAAGCATTGTCAAACCCACTGACTACTATCTACTATTAGTATTCCATGTGGGAGCCAGTGACATAGCCAACAGAAGCCTAAAAAACATTAGGAAAGATTACAGAAGCCTGGGAGAGATGGTCAAGGACTATGGTGCCCAAGTCATCATTACATCCATCTGTCAGGTCTGGGGTGCGGGCTATGAGATGACCAGAAGAACTAGGAAGGTCAATAGTTGGTTGATACAATAGTGCCAGAGTCAAGGCTTTGGGTATTCTGACCTTGGGATATATGCAGGCAAGCTTGATTGGACCAGGACTGATGGGGGTCACTGGACAAAAAAGGGGAAAAGTGTCTTTGTTCAGGGGCTTGCAAAATTGTAGAGACAGCTTTAAACTACATTTGTTGGGGGAGGGGGAGCCCTATTTATCCCGATACCACCGGTTGAATGCCACCACCTATAATGGATGCCCAGAACAGAATAATGCAACTGGGGAGCA